GATATCTCAGCTCTGGAAGGGTCTAGAGCCTCCATTTTTGCACTCAGGTCAAAGTCTCACAGCCCTCTATCATAATCCAGAGTTTTGAGAAGATTGGAGAAACTTAATTTTTCGCCCAAAAATGAAAAAAAACGAAAGGGGTAACACTGTCGTTTTTTTTTCGGGTCGAAATTTTGAATTTCGATATCTCAGCTCTGGAAGGGTCTAGAGCCTCCATTTTTGCACTCAGGTCAAAGTCTCACAGCCCTCTATCATAATCCAGAGTTTTGAGAAGATTGGAGAAACTTAATTTTTCGCCCAAAAATGAAAAAAAACGAAAGGGGTAACACTGTCGTTTTTTTTTCGGGTCGAAATTTTGAATTTCGATATCTCAGCTCTGGAAGGGTCTAGAGCCTCCATTTTTGCACTCAGGTCAAAGTCTCACAGCCCTCTATCATAATCCAGAGTTTTGAGAAGATTGGAGAAACTTAATTTTTCGCCCAAAAATGAAAAAAAACGAAAGGGGTAACACTGTCGTTTTTTTTTCGGGTCGAAATTTTGAATTTCGATATCTCAGCTCTGGAAGGGTCTAGAGCCTCCATTTTTGCACTCAGGTCAAAGTCTCACAGCCCTCTATCATAATCCAGAGTTTTGAGAAGATTGGAGAAACTTAATTTTTCGCCCAAAAATGAAAAAAAACGAAAGGGGTAACACTGTCGTTTTTTTTTCGGGTCGAAATTTTGAATTTGATATCTCAGCTCTGGAAGGGTCTAGAGCCTCCATTTTTGCACTCAGGTCAAAGTCTCACAGCCCTCTATCATAATCCAGAGTTTTGAGAAGATTGGAGAAACTTAATTTTTCGCCCAAAAATGAAAAAAAACGAAAGGGGTAACACTGTCGTTTTTTTTTCGGGTCGAAATTTTGAATTTGATATCTCAGCTCTGGAAGGGTCTAGAGCCTCCATTTTTGCACTCAGGTCAAAGTCTCACAGCCCTCTATCATAATCCAGAGTTTTGAGAAGATTGGAGAAACTTAATTTTTCGCCCAAAAATGAAAAAAAACGAAAGGGGTAACACTGTCGTTTTTTTTTCGGGTCGAAATTTTGAATTTGATATCTCAGCTCTGGAAGGGTCTAGAGCCTCCATTTTTGCACTCAGGTCAAAGTCTCACAGCCCTCTATCATAATCCAGAGTTTTGAGAAGATTGGAGAAACTTAATTTTTCGCCCAAAAATGAAAAAAAAAAAGGGGTAACACTGTCGTTTTTTTTTCGGGTCGAAATTTTGAATTTCGATATCTCAGCTCTGGAAGGGTCTAGAGCCTCCATTTTTGCACTCAGGTCAAAGTCTCACAGCCCTCTATCATAATCCAGAGTTTTGAGAAGATTGGAGAAACTTAATTTTTCGCCCAAAAATGAAAAAAAACGAAAGGGGTAACACTGTCGTTTTTTTTTCGGGTCGAAATTTTGAAGTTTGATATCTCAGCTCTGGAAGGGTCTAGAGCCTCCATTTTTGCACTCAGGTCAAAGTCTCACAGCCCTCTATCATAATCCAGAGTTTTGAGAAGATTGGAGAAACTTAATTTTTCGCCCAAAAATGAAAAAAAACAAAAGGGGTAACACTGTCGTTTTTTTTTCGGGTCGAAATTTTGAATTTGATATCTCAGCTCTGGAAGGGTCTAGAGCCTCCATTTTTGCACTCAGGTCAAAGTCTCACAGCCCTCTATCATAATCCAGAGTTTTGAGAAGATTGGAGAAACTTAATTTTTCGCCCAAAAATGAAAAAAAACAAAAGGGGTAACACTGTCGTTTTTTTTTCGGGTCGAAATTTTGAATTTGATATCTCAGCTCTGGAAGGGTCTAGATCATCCATTTTTGCACTCAGGTCAAAGTCTCACAGCCCTCTATCATAATCCAGAGTTTTGAGAAGATTGGAGAAACTTAATTTTTCGCCCAAAAATGAAAAAAAACGAACACTGTCGTTTTTTTTTCGGGTCGAAATTTTGAATTTCGATATCTCAGCTCTGGAAGGGTCTAGAGCCTCCATTTTTGCACTCAGGTCAAAGTCTCACAGCCCTCTATCATAATCCAGAGTTTTGAGAAGATTGGAGAAACTTAATTTTTCGCCCAAAAATGAAAAAAAACGAAAGGGGTAACACTGTCGTTTTTTTTTCGGGTCGAAATTTTGAATTTCGATATCTCAGCTCTGGAAGGGTCTAGAGCCTCCATTTTTGCACTCAGGTCAAAGTCTCACAGCCCTCTATCATAATCCAGAGTTTTGAGAAGATTGGAGAAACTTAATTTTTCGCCCAAAAATGAAAAAAAAACGAAAGGGGTAACACTGTCGTTTTTTTTTCGGGTCGAAATTTTGAATTTCGATATCTCAGCTCTGGAAGGGTCTAGAGCCTCCATTTTTGCACTCAGGTCAAAGTCTCACAGCCCTCTATCATAATCCAGAGTTTTGAGAAGATTGGAGAAACTTAATTTTTCGCCCAAAAATGAAAAAAAAAAAGGGGTAACACTGTCGTTTTTTTTTCGGGTCGAAATTTTGAATTTCAATATCTCAGCTCTGGAAGGGTCTAGAGCCTCCATTTTTGCACTCAGGTCAAAGTCTCACAGCCCTCTATCATAATCCAGAGTTTTGAGAAGATTGGAGAAACTTAATTTCTCGCACCAAAAAAAAACAAAAAAAAAACGACAAGTAACACTGTCGTTTTTTGGGGGGGGTCGAAATATTGAGTTCCTCTGATCTTCTTGAAACTCTGGATTCTGGACCTGAGTGCAAAAAAAAAAAAAAAATTCTGGACCTGAGTGCAAAAAACTTGGACCTGAGTGCAGATTTTTGCATTCAGGTCCAAGTCTCATGGCCCTAATCAAGAGTTTCAAGAAGATCAGAGAAACTCAAAATTTCGAAAACGAAAGGGGTACCACTGTCGTTTTTTTTTTTTGTTTTTTTTTTTTCGTTGGGAAAAATTAAGTTTCTCCAATCTTCTCAAAACTCTGGATTCTGGATCCTTCCGGGGCTGAGATATTGAGATCCCATGTAGCCCGCCTGCAATCTATTGAATGGGGTAGTGTATTTTTTGGACATTTTAATTTAAGTTCCTGTCATGATAAAAACTATTTTACTGCACTCAGGGGGGGCCCCTGAGTCTGTGGGACCAAGCGCCATCCCATAATTCCACCGTCCACGAACCCACTATTTTTATAAAGGCATAAATGCTACATGGGATCTCAATATCTCAGCTCAGGAAGGGTCTAGAGACTCCATTTTTTGCACTCAGGTCAAAGTCTCATGGCCTTCTATAAGAATCAAGAGTTTCAAGAAGATCAGAGAAACTCAAAATTTTGGCCATAACGTAACATACAAAGTAATCTCTTTATTTCTTTAGAAATAAATAATGGATAAATGGAGTCTTTGGATGCCTCAGATGTTATTCGCAAGTTATTTGCTGTCAAAGTGACGCCAAAATGAATGGGAGGCAATGGGATGCTAACAGCAGGTGATAGTCCGCTACAATGGCAGCCCCCGGAGGCAGCTTCAACTTCCGGCTGATGGATTACCCCCTTGGACCCATCTCTTCAGGGGGACTCATCTCTTCACCACACCGGAATCCCTCTACTGAAACCCCCAAGGCATTACCAAACGATCGACGACTAATTAGCCCATACAGACGAAGATCAGAATTATCTGCATTCAACTTCTTACTATTACTCTAAATTTAAACTGTGACAAAACTTAATATGCATTATAATATATGAGTACAATATGGATCTTAATGAGTTGTAAGTGTAATAGCATGATATTCAAAAGAGTTGTTATTGCATAGAGAAGAGAAAGTTGAATATTTCCAATTGTTAGAAATGAGAAGACCAGTACCCCCACCCCTCCCCGACTGGCGGGGAGTGTGAGAGAAAGAGAAATTGTTAGAGAGAGCAGCAGGGGTTGCAGAGTTTTCTGGATGTATCCAGGTCTCAGTCAAGCCCAGGATATAAATGGTAGAACGAGATGCAAAGGCTGGAATGAAATCAGCTTTATTGACAATTCCATAGACCCATAGAAAGAGAGAGAGGTGAGAATGAGGATAAGGGGATAGGGTGCAGATTAACAGTATTACACCTTCTGTGTATGAGGAGAGGTCGATGTCGAGAGACAACAGGAATATATTGAAAGCACATGTTAATTAGGTGAAATAAGTAAAAAGATAGGAAAGGTCTTTGCTCGGTGGAGTCACGCAGGTAGAGTCGCAGGTCTTTACTCTCGTCGGACTTCACACGAGGAGGCTGAACAGCGCCAGCACGCATGCTGCACTGATATAGTGCTTCCAATCACTGAGTGAGAACGGCTGCAGCCGGCCCTTGCAATTGGCTTTATGCACAGCTGCACTACTTCCTGAACTTAAGCCAGCTCCTTGTTTCCTGTCTGCCATTATTGGACAAATTGATTAATCTAGGTGTGCCTGACCTCAGTAGTCACGGCAACAATAATCAGACACACCTGAATTAATCAAGTTCGGCCAATAATTGCAGACACGACACAAGGAGCTGGCTTAAGTTCAGGAAGTAGTGCAGCTGTGCATAAAGCCAATTAGCACAAAAAGCCAATAACCCGAGAATGGGCGAAACCGAAACGAGCTCTTCAACTGGCTGTTGAAGAGCGCTACTTAAGTGCCAAAATATACAAACTCTAATCCCTGAGGCGTGCGACAAAAATCAAAATAGATTAAAAATAGAAGCGCGTACAATACAGACATTTATTCAAGATAAACAATTACAAATGAGCAAAGAATCGAAAACAGCCCTAATACTACACAAAAAGTAATCAAAGCAACAGGACAATATAAGAAAAAAAAATATATATATAGGCGTGCGGCCTAAATTCCAAACAGCTACAATGCAGATATTAAGTGAACATATAGATAATAAATAAGCAAAGGATCGAAAAATAGCCCTACTTAATTGACAAATAGTAACCAGAGCAACGGAGAACTAAATATTAGGAAGAATCAACTTACGCGCTCAACATGACTGCAGGTGATTTATTAGTGTCTCGAGCATCATTTCTTTATACATGATTTGCACCTCTCACAAATAAACCTCTGCACAGAATACAGCAGTTTGACACAATAGTTAAAAAGCTATAAAATGCACGTGATACTTGATGCATAACACATTATCAATACAATAAAAGTACAAAAATTAAACCGTTGCCTCAAATTTATATAACTTTCTAAGAGCAGGATATTGGAGGGATATTGCATTTCTGCCAATTGGAGATCACGATAAGGGAATGATGTTCTGGGTGTAGCATCTCTAAAGAGGCCAATGCAAACCGTTTTTTAAGGCTTCACAAGCCTTTCCTTAATTCAAACTACCTGTCTGATTAGAACAGATGAATGTAGCATATTTAGTATTGAAGACATGTACAGACAATTGGTTGGGTCAGGATGGAACTCATGCAATCAGTGCTAATGTATTTCAGCGTAGCTGCCAGGGGCGTTTTATTCCTATGTGGTTTGCCATTACCTTAAGTACCCTGGCACAGCAAATCAGGCAGAGCAAAAAAAGTAGGCTGCACAGCATCTAGAGGATTGAGGGGCCACTTTAAGATCCTGTCTGAGTAGATCACATGCTCAATGCTTAAGCCTACAAAATGGATTGTATGGAGTACGACTAGATTGCTTCAATCATTGCATGGGGGATGCTTTGGCCTTATTTGTGACAACAGAGAGGACACTTTGGATGACAAATATACATAAAATGCTAATAAAAAAGGTCACGTTTTACACCAAAATCACGTTAGTTTTTTTTCCCCCCAATATTTTCATGATAATCACATTCCCTTTATGTTTAATGGTGATTTTCTTTTTGTCTGTATTAAAATAAGCACAAAAGGCAGTACAAATACTATAAAGATGTATAAATACTTTTCTTTTTATTGTATTGCTTTACAGTAATTAGAAAGACACAAGTAGAGAAAATGTGCTCAAGTGTCATGGAAATGAAGTCATAAAAAAGTTAATATTCTTACAAATGGCTTAATTTTCATTATGCATTATAAAAAAACCCATGATCTTACAAACATTGAAATGCTGAAACGAACCAAATCCATCTAAAAAGTGAAAGTAAAGTGAGCCGTATAAGGAAGAACGTGTAATATCTTTGGATTTACAAAGCATTGTGAATACTGCAGGTGTAATTTTGGAGGTGGAGGTGGATGAGGAGGGACATGCAAATGCCTTGTTATCCTGGTTCCAACAGTTCGTTCATAAGCCGTTTTTCCAGTTGAATGACTGGCATCGTAACAGCAAAACTGAGGCCAGACCGTCAGCTTACCGTAGCAAGCTACTGAACATTCAGATCCGTGCTTTGCTGAATGACACATTCTTAGTGAACGCTGATCGAAGCGGGCTATAACAGCCGGTGAAAGCCTGCGGAGCTACTGTATCCATCACTGTCAGTCAGCCATATGTTTCAGGCTTCAAGTAAAGTAGTTGTTCTTGTTTGGCATAGACCCCCCAGTCTCCGCTCCGGCCCCTCCTTGAAGCCTCACAGCGGAGAGAAAGCGTGGCTTTTACACAGTGGCTTGTCCTTCTTTGAATAGAACGTCTTCCCCTCTAGATTGATTTGACAGATCTGAGGAGATGAAAAATGAGGATTAAACAGTGGAAAGCAAACTCTTTATCCGTCATGGAGCTAATGCAAAGAGACTATTCAACAGGGCTATTTGAATGTTGCGATTCATCATTTGCTACTTGCTAGAAGCCAATAATATTAGGGGTGAAATGTTTGAAGTCTAGAAAGCATTTAACTCAGTAAGATCTTTTTAAATAAATCGACTCTTTCCCCCGCTGGCATTTATGAAAAAGAGTTTACAGACACCACCGGCAGTTTTGATCATTTTCATAAAAATGTCATGGCCCCCGGAATATTTTGTTGTATGAATATCTGAACATGCAATATGTCAAGAGAAAGGACAGAGCCTCTGCTGCCATCTGCGGGACACTATTAACATGTTAGGGTTCAAAGCCCCACATGGCACATGCGAGCCGCTGTTGAACGGTGTTACTCGCCAGTTGCCTGGTAACTTTATGAATTTTGACAATCCATGGTTATGATATATGGCTTAGGGCAATCAGGAAATCACATGGATGTGATGTAGTAATATAAATATACAGTCTGACGCTCTGCATGTTTCAGAGTAAAGCACAGCGCAGGGTTAGTTTTCAGTTTCGATTCACAGTAAATGCTACTTTGTAAATTATAAGCGACTCAAACACATAGCACGTGCATTTGGAACGCAACGTGCGCCAACCATATTCCCAAATTTGTAAAGAGAATCATTATAAATCTGTTGTTGTCAACAACAACGAGAATCATTAAGTTCTCTCTGCGGTTTACCGCCAAAATAAAAGCTCAATGGTTTAATGTTTGAACGCAAATTAAGCCGGCCAAATGTTATTATTGCAATTTTATCATTGTTCTGTAAAAAAATAAAATAAATAAAAAATAAAAAAATAAATAAATATTATTATTATAATAATAACATAAACAACAATAATAGCAATTATATTAATACTTTTATTATAACACATTGTATTATAAGACAATATATTATTATCATTAAATATTAGATTTTTTCATTTTACAATGCAATAGAATGTATTAATGCAATTTTAAGATATGTATTTATTAATTTAATAAAATACAAATAATAAATTGTTTTAATAAAATAATATTAAAACATAAAAAAAATAAAAGTCTTTAGCTAATAACATGCCTACATCCCTCATGATTTTTTTTGCTATTTATTGTGCTCTTGTGGGGAGCAATGAGGGACACAAATAAAAATGGATGAATTCCTAAAAAGTTAAATAAATGGCAAGAGCATCCTTCCATAAGAGAATATAAAGTTCATGTCTTTGTTTATCTGGAAAATTTTTAAAAGTTAAACTTCATGCAAACAGTCACTGTAGGAATTGTCTGGGTTAACATTGGCCGTTTCTTGATAGTGTTGCGCGGTGCAGAAAGTTTAAGATGGAGTTTCGGGACAGGTCCCAATGCATCAAAATGACTTACGGCACAGACAAAGCAAGTGTCATGCCAGCTGTAGCCCAGCGCCTCAAGGAAACGGTCCCCTGCATCAATCTTGAAGTCACAGCCATGGCATTTGGTACCAAACATCTTTTCATAGTCTGCAGAGAAAAACAAACCAACCAAAAAGGGCCTATTAAGCCAGCGAGGAGGAAATGTTTGGTCAGATACAGAGAGAACAAGACAAGAAAGTATTACATTTTCTCAGGCCTCACATGCTCAGTGTGATGCACTAGTCCAGATTCCTATTTGGATTGCCCCAGTTTTACCCATTACGAAAAACTTAAAAAGTTGCAGGCTTTACGTCTCGTACGCAAGGTAAGTGGTTTAAAGCACAATCCTTTTAAGGTGCTGAGACTGCAGCTATTTTATCAACACTAGCTCTTTATTTCTGACAGAAGCAGCTGCCCACTTGCTGCTGACACAAAACCGAAACTCTTCAAAGCTGCAAAGCACCAGAACAGCAATGCAAGCCTATTTACATAATAAAGACACGCACTCCCTTTAGATCGCTTAATGTCTGTTTATGTAAGATTAGGGGCCCAACAAATGTGACAATGGGATTAACTGCACTACATAAATATGAATTAAACATGGAAGGTGGCTGAATTTAGCAACTTTCCACCACTCGGGAAACAAAATGAATGAACAAGCACAGCTTAGCATGACAAATATCAGTCCTGAATTCAAAACTATTTCAACCGTGGTTCTCATGTGGGAATGCAAGTTCGAATCTGATCCGCAACGTTCCCGAGCCCCTTCACCCATGGGTCGCTTCTCATGGTTCCGATAAATACAAGTGTCAAAAGGTCCAAAATAAAAGAACAAACAATCTCTAAACACTTGGTTTTAATGTCTCCTGCTCCTTCCAATAATGTCCTTCTTTAAGTCTCACTAGTCCAGTGTTGGGGAGTACAGTAGTTAACTACAAGGAGCAACGCTACGAACTTAACTACATTTTTCAGTAGCTTGGCAGTAGCTGATTTGCTTTTTTTTTTTTTTTGCTTTTTAGCCAGTAGCTAACTACTAAATATTCGACGTGCAATTTACGTTGGATGTATATTTTGTTCTTGCAATGTTGTAGGCTATTTGTTGCAATTTTGCACTTTTGACAAACAGTCTGAGATATTTGAGTGTTTTGTGTAATAAAACAATACTCTTTGAAATCATAATTGTATTGCATTGTTTTAAACACTAAATATTTTACTTAAAACATTCCTCAGACACTTATTCAGTTATTTATAATATACGTTGTTCAAAAAGCAAAACGTAGTTTCAATCAAGCTACTTTTTGATAGTAACTTATAGTGTAGCTAACTACTTTTCCAAAAGGGTAGCTTGAATGTAGTTTAACTACTTTAACTTACGAGTAGCTTGTAGCTCGTCAAACTACAGTTTCAGAGTAGCTTCCCAACACTGCACTAGCCTACATAACTTTAATGTACTTGTATATTAATGTAATTAAAATCAATCCATTGCATACAGGGATGTACAGAGAGTTTCTTAGGGGCAGGGGCAGATCCATCATTACGGAGTAAAAAAAAAAAGTTTACACAAAGATTTGCACTTCTTTTACTTTTACAGGTTTCCCACACCTTGGTTAACTTCAAATTTCAAGGACTTTCCAGGTCCAATACCCTTAAATTCAAGGAATTAATGTCGGGACACATTTCAAGTGAGAGCAAGTTTACATCGTGTTACCTTGTAGGATACATTGTTAGTCTTGCGTGAGTGAACGTCATGGCAACGTACAAAAAGTACCTCACGCGGAAACACTTAACGTAAAGCATAAATGCGTGCAACAAACGTAAATCAAGCAAGCTAGTATGCATAGGCTACGAAGTGTTGGCAAAATAACACATTAATGGAGCGGAGGGAATAATATGGATTTTTTTCCAGAAAATTTCTTGCACAAAATAAATTCAAGCACTTTCAAGGACCTGTATCTATTTATGTTTATTTTCAAAAACTTTCCAGGGCCTTGAAAAAAAAAAAAAAAATCAGATTCACAAACTTTCAAGGATTTCAAGGACCCGTGGGAACCCTGCTTTTAATAGCGGTTCCAAACCCAACTGAAGGTCCATTTTCTGCCACTTACTGCATGACAACTACATGACAGCTGATGTAAAAAAGAATCACGCTCAAGGTTGCGTTTCTCGAAAGCATCGTTAGCCAACTATGGTCGTAAGTTCCGTCGTTACCAATAGAGTTCAATGGAAATTGCGACCAACATGCGACCATAGTTGGCTAACGATGCTTTCGGGAAACGCACCCCAGGATAGCTGATTCAACCAGTTAAAAATGCCTAATTGACCCCGTTACTGATCCTTCAGTGAGGAGATGCGCTTCTGATGCCTCTACTGAACTGTGATGGGCAACATCGCAACTATGATGAGAAAAAAAAAAAAAACAGGTATGCTTGAGCATTCTGTCTTTTTAAGGTCTTGTCACATGGTCTGTGATACATTTATAATTCCTTTTAGAACTGCACTAGAGTTAATCTGGAAGCGGTTCTTTTGGACACGTATTTAAATGAAATCACACTAACAGTGCATTTGCATCGAAGTTTGTTTTAATGGAACCAAACATGTCAAGTGTGAACACACTAGGGCTGTCAACGAATATTCTAAATTCGAATATATATTCGAATAGTTTTAAAAAACAGAAATTCGAAGGTGAAAATTAATATTCGAATTAAAAAAAAAAAAAAAACGCCCGCGCAAGCAAAGGCGCGGCTGTCTGTTTTGCGAGTGGCCGTGCACGCTGCCTGATTAGGGTTCAGAGACAGGTGTCGCACTGGCACAGCGTCACTCACTGCAGAAAGTGCAGAGCCCAACTCGACCGCAGCAGAGAAAGTGATTTTAACCCCCCAAAATGAGTGAGGCCGCTGCCGGACAGACACGTGATCGGCAGCCCGCTGAGAAAACTGCGTTATCTGCTATGGTCTCTTCGGAGACACGTATTGCGCGGACAACCCAGACCAGGACATCAATTTGCTGCTTCAAAAAGAGATGTTAATGTATGAACAAGAGTCTCCAGTACCTGCTCAACAAAATCCTCTCATGTGGTGGAAAACTTTGGGCTCTGGGAGATAGTCTACCCTCACATCGCCCAGATGGCAAAGAAATATCTTTCCATCCCCGGATCCTCAGTGCGCTCTGAACGCGTTTTTTCCTCCGCTGGGAATATAGTAAATAATAAGAAATCAGCACTGGCCCCTTCAAATGTGGACTGTCTTGTGTTTTTGGCAAATAACCTGTAGATCCGACGGTGACAGTGCGCACTAAAAAGACAACGGAATAAATTGCCGTCAGTTTTTTTTTCTTCCTTTTTTTTTTATTCAAGCACCAAGAATGTAAGTAGCCTTTTTCGTTTTTAATAGTTCTTTATTTTTTTATGAACCTCAGGGTAAAGGCGTTGTCACATTTCTCGGAATTGTGTGCCTCATTTTATTTAACTTTAAACAGAAACAGCCTGTAGGCTAACTAATTAGATAGGCCTATTGCGTTGGAGCGTGAGGTTTGCAGTCTTGCCCATTACTTTGTTGTACTTTTTTGTGTAGGTAATACGTTATTAAATATGTTTAAAATTAAATAAAGTACCTATACAAGTAGTTATGCCTCTTTGTATTAATTCGTCCTGTTAATGACGTAATGCGCGTCACTGAAAAAATGCGCAACCAGATATTCGAATAGTTCGAATATTCGCATGTTTTTTTCGAGGGAATATTCGAACGTAATTTTTGAGCAATTTTGACAGCCCTAGAACACACCCACAGTCATAATTCCATCTAGTCTTATAAATTAAAGTGTCAAAACCAAATTAAATTAAACAAAACAAAAATTCCTAATGCCTTGTTGCATCATAAATGTAAGCATCACAAAAAGTTAATAAAAAGTGGCTACTACTGCACATGCTGACACTTTCAGCTGGTTGCTCATGTGGTCAGCATGAGTTTGAATCTGTCTTGTGATTCGAATAATAAAAAAAAAACCTGAACTAAAAGTATTAATGGTTCCATTGAGCAGCAAAGCACTTTCTACTAATTGCAAATTTAAAGCAGATTCTCAAGCATAAAAGTTCTCAGCAAAGCTCCTAATCAATGTTCAGGGCCGGTATGGAGCAGATTTGAAGCCTGAAGTGAAGTGGCAGCATTTGAATGATTAAACACCGCAGGAGCCCGCGCTCGGCTCTCGGCAGGGGCTGTCGATAAGATGTGCGGCCGGGCGTGCGAGTCGCTCACCTCTCTCGCAGTAGGGCTCTCCCTCCTCCATGTAGAAGGCCTGGTTCCTGATGGGCATTTTGCAGGCGGCGCACAGGAAGCACTGTACGTGGTAGGTCATCTTCAGGGCGTGCATGATTTCCTGTGGAGAGGACAGAGGGGTGTGAGGGAGCTGCGCACGTCACCTATGAATTCACACTTCCAAAATCATTCCACTCTCACTTTTAAACTCTCGCCCACGTTACCCCACTGGCACTGCTCTTCATCATCAGCCTCATGCCATGCAATCAGAATAGCTTTTGTTTGATTTTAAGGTCATACTGACATTGTCATAGTATTATATTGTCATATTATAACATTAACTTGCGTAATTTTTTTTTCTTCTACAATTTACAACCATCTTTTTATTTTAATATGTGACAAAAGAAGGTAATTTTTACAAAAGAAGGTAATCAGATTAATTAATTATGCACCTTACAATTCACCAAGTAATTTATTGTTTCATCAATCAAAAATGTTGAAGTTTTATGATTTAGTTGATTTGTACATGATAAAGTTTATTTACCAAGTCAAATATAATAAAATTCCTAAATGCTTGCAATTATTATTTTCCCAGCAAAAAAGTAAATATAATCTTAGAGGATTAAGTATATTTAACCAACCACAAGTACATTCGACATTAAGAGAACACTGTTCATCAAATAAAGGAGTTAAATTGTGGAATAGTTGCTGTAATGAGTTAAAACAAGTCACGTCTATTTTTCCAGTTTAAAAATATTTACAATAGAATAACATTGGAAAATGAAAATGAATTAGACAGGCTTGCTTCTGGTGTGGACAATGGTCCACTAATGTGTTTATGTTAATTTTATGAACAGATGTTGTCATTAATGAGTTGTATTTGATTCCAAATTTAAGGGCAGGCAAAATAAGCTTTAGCTTCCGTCTGCACCTGGTCATCTGTAGTGTTTATGTTTCAAATGATCTGTAAATGACCAGACCGAAATAAATGAAAAGTCATTATAACTTTTTAATGACAAATTCAATGTGTACCACTGTAGTTGAGGTCACGAAAAAAATTCATGACACATGACGAGATGAGACATGTAATGACATGCTATGATGTATTGGTTTATTTCAAGATGTCATAACAAAGACATCTTAAACAATGTCATATCTGCATTCAAAATGACAAGACACTTAATGACAGTTGTCATAAACATGCATAAACCCTACTTCATATTCAAGACATGTCATGGTTATGAAAGTGTTATGTCAGTCTTATGCACATCCCTTCAAGTAAAGTGTTACCTATCAATCACAAGTAGCACGGATTTATCTGTGGCAATATCCAACACTACATTGCATTTATGCCAAAAATCATTCAGCTCTCAAGTAAAGAGTATGGTATTATTTTGTTTTACCAGCATCCTTAATGATTTAACAAGCCATTCCACCACTCAGTTTGAATGGATCAGTGTATATTCCTGTGAAACTCTACTAAAAGGAACTAGATTGTGTGTTTGTGTTGCAGAACGGTATGAAAAGCGCTCACCCCAGTTATTTTCTTCTTGCATTTGGCACAGTTGGGTGAGTAACGGTTGTCATAACACTTGGTGCAGTAAATGGATCCTTTTTCCTCAAAGAAGCCCCCCTCATCCAACACCTTTTTACACTGGCAGCACATGAACTCCTCGGGGTGCCAGGAGCGACCGAGCGCCACAACGTAGCGTCCCCTAGAACACAGGCACACGTAGTCTTACAACTAAAGCCTTTTGCATTGAGGTGAAAGGGTCAGCTCGAGCATCAGGAGCTGGGTTTAGCACTCTTAAGTGTTCAGTGTGCAAAAGCCATTCTAATGGAAATAGTAGGTCAGACGCAAAAACCCACTGCATTCAGTATCGATTCTCCACAGCAGAAAGCCCAAGGACATGCCGCTATTTCTGTGCTCAGCGTATTTTAAGAAATATTCCTGCCTTACAAAGTTTGACAACCTTTTATCCCTCCCCATGTCTTCAAGTAATGACATTTAGCACATATACTCATCATTGATTTGGAGGTATTCTGGGCTGCCTGCAGCAGTTAGCTTTGGGATTTTAACTGCTATATTTTCGACTCCAGCCGTACCTGATGATCTTGTTGCAGGCGGCGCAGAGCGGCGTACAGCCGCTCGAGTCGGCAGGGCTCTGCTGTGCTGCCTGAAGGATGGAGCTGCGGTTCTGCATGGGAGTGGGTTGGACCGGCTGCTTGTGCTGGGTCACCACCGTGCTGGTCTTGTCTGGGTGGTAGCGGTCTGCAAAACCGGGGTCCGTCACCCATGGAGGCCTGCAGGATGGGCCGGAACTCACTGGCGCTTTAGCTGGTGCTAGACAAAAAAAAGACAATGAAACTTTTTTTTTTCCAGCACTTTCCTCACTATGGTCCAACAGAGACCTGTTAGCGGTGTGTCTATTAAAACGAGTGCAAGTGTAGTCTAAAAAAAAATGAAATGCTTGCTTTTATCAGGAGATATCATTATCATTGAGATGCTGCTAACAACATGAGAGGAGAGCAATAGGAGCGTCTCATGGTTTAATTCAGCTTATATAAACCGCATCTCAGGAGAGTGATAATAGAGTCATATTATCATCTTTGACTATAAACACATCAGTGCCCTTATGTCTCACTTTTCCCATTAACATCAGGCCTGTCTGAGCCAGCCGGACCGCTCCGTGAACAAGTCAGCGAGTTAAGTCCTCCCCGTGGGAGCGACTCCGGGGCTGTGAGTCAGTGTGTGTACTGTGAGAGTCAATCTATTCTGTCAGTTCTGAGAGTACTTACCTTGAACTTCATCAGGTTTGTCTGCTGGCTTGGACTTGGCAGGACAGGGAGTTACTCCGTGACTGCAGAAAGAAAATTTCCCTTCAGAACACAGGTCATTATAAAACGGCGTTAGCCAGAGCCAATGAAAATTTCATTAAGCTATGCGAACTCTGATATCTACATCCTGCATGGAAAATACACCCCTGAACAAAGTATCGAGATTAAAACATTATGACATGGCGTTTTATGCAAATTAAACTACAGGATGGGTGTTTTCTGCTTTGATTGTGAATAAAAAAACATTGCATCTTTATTTATTATTATTATTTATTTATTTTTTTAGCCTTTTCTTCAACATATACAACATATAACAAATATATTTCTTATTTAACCTAAGGTATAACTTTTTTTAAAGATTATATATACATATACGTATATGTGTTTGTGTATGTGTATGTGTATGAAGTACAGGATCTGGATATGTTTATTCATTTCATTCAGATGATGTATGGTGAAAAGCTCATAAATGCTACAACTGACATTTTTTTAGAGTAACCTGTGTATGTGTGTGTATAAATTGAGGCCCTCTTGAAAGTTAGCAGGGGCCCCAGTCCCCTGGTTGTGATTTAAGCTGATTTAGACTGTGTGGTTTTAGCTTACAGGTTACTCAAAAAAAAAATGTCAGTTGTAGCATTTATGAGCTTTTCACCATACATCATCTGAATGAAATGAATAAACATATCCAGATCCTGTACTTCATCACAGCTACATGATCACACAAGAATAACACCGTCATGTGCTTTCCAGATGCGTGTATGCAGTTTTATGTTTGCAATTATGAGAATGTCATTCCTCATGTTTGGTGCCTTCTCAAATGAATAGTTACCTCGGCGTAAATCTATACAGAGTCAGCCAAACAAGTCTATCTTATGTTTTATTGTCAAACATGGTTTTATTGCCAAACCAGTTAGGCAAAGCGAGATAACGAATGATTCAATCTCTAGCAGAAAATTCTGAGAGAATTAAAATCGATGCATACAGATTTTTAATTAATTACTTATTTGCACAAAACACATTTCAGTTCTGTCAAAAACCCTAGTGAGCTGCCCATCTAGGCAATATTTTTAGGCACAAGCACAACAGCAAGTCTGTTCAAACAGTAAGTAGCAAAATTACACTGACTAGTTTCTACCCTCGGTTTGGCCAAAAAATAAACTAGAATCGCCAATCCCAGAGTGCACCGCACTGAATTTTATCCATAAGGCGACAGAATTTGGTCAAGATAAAACAATTATATCTATTTAAATGCAGTATTTTATGTAATGCCCAAGTCAAGTCACCTTTATTTATACAAAACAGATTGTTTCAAATGATAACAGGAAAATGACGCATTTCAGCTATTGCTCAAATGAAGTTAGATCCTTGTTGTAAAGAACATCAATTAATAAAATTAGTTAATTTAATCTATAAAGCCGTTCTGCAAAAAATTATGTCATCGTCAGACCAATAATATAACAGTCAGATCAAAGTCTTTATATGGCAGAATGAATGAGTGCATCGTCTCGTCTTTTTATTTCTAGAGGGGTGCAGGTATGACGTCACTTTGTAGCCTAGGCCAACCAGTAGTTAGCATCCTGCTGGTTCCCTCGAAAAAAACCCAATAGGATTTTCCCATAGGCTTTTGGATTATGGCTAAAAACAAGCTCTGTGATAGACAAAACTTGCAATTATCATAAACTTTTGTTGATCAAGATAATTATCACAGATAAACACAACTTATATGAATTTTGAAGCCAAAGTTGTCCGAAGTAAAATGTAAAAAAACAAAAACAAAACATTTTTCCAGAACGTTCGAGTTAGAATAGTTTAGAAGAGCACAATTATAACCATAACGATAGTATAAAAGCTGACTGAGCTTACCTTTTCAACAGTGTTTCTTAGATGTTCTTTAGTAATACTTGTGCTAATCAATGCTTGTTAGCTTAACTAGGCAGCAAGGCTAACATTTCAATGTTTGAATCTATTTGGCCCTACTGAAAAAAAGTTAATTAAACCAGTGATTTAAATAACAATTAAATACAAGAGGGAAGTTATTTTTTTCCCTTACTTCTTTAAAATACTAAGGAACAGCCATGTACAGTATAAAAAGCAGAAAATGTTGAAATGAAGAAGAGGGAACAAACAGAGGCTGAAGAAAATAAAGGAGGACAGCAGAAAGTTTCACAATGTTTTATGTACTCATAGACATGAGTCATCAGATTCTTTTATCTTATTGGAGACAGAACCAGAGGAAGAGCGATCAGATGACATCATAATAGTGAATTATGCTAAATTACAGTCAGAAAAAAGAATGAAATATAAAGGAGAAAGAAAGAAAAAAAATCCCAAGGGGGGCTACACAACAATCAGAAAGAGCAATAAGAACAGTCCTGTGATGGATAACACCTCTGAACAACCACAAAAATCATAATAACAATAAATTAACGTGATTAGCAGTTTGTAGAAAGGATACCACTTGAAAGGAGTCTACGTCATACCAACAGCATTCAGATATTCCTAATGGAAACTGGCTGCAGGGCTCAATTTGTGTGTTTTTTCCGACTATGCCTTCGTTTCTTTTCACATTTGTTTTTGCTATTTTCAACTTGCATTGTTTTTTTTTTTTTGTTTTTACATTTTTTCATTAACTTGACAACATTGTTTTGTCCTGGTTTAGCTGGGGTTGGTGTTCACCCATAGCTGGCACGCGGTATTGAGGTGATGCGTTTGTATCTAGTGCGGCCGTTTCTCAGCCGCCTCGGCCTTCTGATGCCCGGGAGACAGAGCGTTCAGGACTTGATGTTGAGGGCACGGGCAGATCTCTCGTGATGCCAGTCTCTCAGCCTGGCATAGCGGGGACTCTGAATCTCAGTGAGGAACTTTTCCCTGCCATCCATTGCACGACAGAGAACAGGAAATTAGGAGAGCAGTGAGAATAAAACAGAGGGAGAGAAACACATGCCAGCAAATATAAAGACTAAAGAGGGGAATTAAAATAAGGTTGAGAGAGAAGCAGAACAGAAAAACAAATCAGAAGGGAATGAAGAAAGATTAAAAGATGCAAAATATGCAAGTAGTGAAGTATTCAGAAAAAACAAAAAACAAAAAAAAAAACTCAGGCCCAGACAGAATCTGCAGATTTTCCCCACTTTTACCATCTTAATTTTAATGGAAAACCTGCTAAATGGATTTGGAACAACATGCTTTTTTTTTTTAAGTCAACAATTAAATAAGCCAAACGCTTTAAGGGCATTTACACACAGGAGAGAGTATTCTGATGGGTGATTTTTAAGGGTATGGAAAACATTTGGTTTGAAATAGTATACGAAAATAGGAAAGTCTATTTCTGAAAGCAGGATTAGCAGGACTGGGTTACGTCCAAATTCCCATTATTTCACAGAAGTGCATTCTAACAAGGCTAAACCCAGTACCGTTGATGCATGGCAATGTTTTTATTCAAAAATTTTTGGATTATATAAAGGAACGATTGTATAAAGATTCCTTATTTTATTTTGCTTTATATATATATATATATTTTTTTTTTCTTATGTTATGTTCTCTGTCATACTGTACATTTCTTGATGTGTCTGTTGTTCCCCCTTTCCCTGTCTTTTATTTTTTATTTTTTTGTAGATGTTCGTTTTATCGTTGTTTCTAAAGACAATAAAGAGTTGATCACAAAAAAAGAAGTGCATTCTGTAGGCATGTAGGTATTAATCAAATTCATTGGTCAAAAATCAATGAATTTGAATTCTGTAGGTGTTGGGGCGGTCAAAATCTAATTTGCCCAAGAAGTTTTAATTATTATCGATGCTAAAAACAGTTATGCTATTACTATTTTTGTGGAAACGTCTTCACTCTGTTACTTTCGACCAATTTAAAGCATCCTTCCAGAGCCTAGAAATACTAACTAACTAACTAACTCCTTGGAACAAACTTTACTTGGAATGTAATAATTTCATAAACCCTTGCATTTCTTCCTCTACATAATCCACCCATCAAAAATCTATTAATTTGAATTGTTATCTGAAACGGTGCAAGTAAACTAGATCTACAAATCTGTATATTATACATGACAGGCATTTGTATTCCGCAGAAATCTGTGGGCATGATTCGGTGTGGGTCTGATTATAAAGCACACAGCACTCCGTGTATGAATTTATACTGCAAATGCACACATCAGACAAGAGCTCATAATGCGGATCAAAGCATATTTTCATCATTTCTCCGCAGAGAGCTGATCTAAGGAGTTAGCCAGAGATCAGGGTAGTAAAAGGTCAGAGCTAGCGATTTAATGCTTCAAACTGCACTTCATTAGCAAGTTCACACAGTTCTTTACCTGGACCTTTTCATGTTCTCATCATCCGGGTCCTGCACTGAGGAAAGCAGGAGAGATACCAATCAGACCAACCATTAGACACACAAATCCACGGTCAAGGTCTGCACAATGCTACAAAACACTTGAGGATTGCTGCTTTTAAAGGAACTACCCATCACCTTTCAACAAGAGTCAAACCCGTGAGATGTACAGGAAAGGTACGGCAACAATGGTTGACTGAACACCTCTTTCCTACCACTTACACAAGAGCAAATCACAGTCACTCAGGCTCTAGATCGCACAAAGGAGAAAATCTCAGCCATAACCCTTGAAGCTATAGATAGACGACATTTCTTACTTCTTTATGATCTCACTCTCAATATCAGATCAGCGGATGGGTCCTCTAGGACATGCTTTCATTCCCTCCTACACTAAGATTAGTCCCTTCCACCAAGTAAAAAAAAGGGATTTTTACTTAGGAACATCGGCTGGGAGATCCAACTTTATATAGTCTTCTGCAGTAAATACACCATGCAATTTAAAAAAATAGATAAAACTTTTTTTTATGACAAAAAGTAGAAAAATAAACAGTACTTTAACAGCTTCATTATTTTATAATTAGAGTTGCATGTACGCACATACCGAGCTAGAACGACTAGATGGACGGATGGATAAAATTTCTGGAGCAAACCATCTCATGATATGCATCAGTATGAATAGTTT